CTGTGCCTTGATGTTGGCTTCTAATAAACTTTTCCTAAAAGAGACCAGTGCTGTGCTGTAATGCTAGGCTGCTAAATGCTCTGTGTTAATGTTAGACCCTTCCAACACATCAGAGTTCATCAGATCATAGTAACACCACTCTGCTCTCCTTCCAGGTCAAACTGTGGTACGACAAGGTGGGTCACCAGCTCATCGTCACAATCCTGGGAGCTAAAGACTTTCCTTCTAGGGCAGACGGCCGGCCCAGGAATCCATATGTTAAAATATACTTCCTCCCAGACAGAAGGTAGGAATCAACAACATTCCATGTTCTGTCTTATAGCATGGTTGTTTTATTGTCTTATACCATGGTTGTTTTATTGTCTTATACCATGGTTGTTTTATTGTCTTATACCATGGTTGTTTTATTGTCTTATACCATGGTTGTTTTATTGTCTTATACCATGGTTGTTTTATTGTCTTATACCATGGTTGTTTTATTGTCTTATACCATGGTTGTTTTATTGTCTTATACCATGTTTGTTTTATTGTCTTATACCATGGTTGTTTTATTGTCTTATACCATGGTTGTTTTATTGTCTTATACCATGGTTGTTTTATTGTCTTATACCATGGTTGTTTTATTGTCTTATACCATGGTTGTTTTATTGTCTTATACCATGGTTGTTTTATTGTCTTATAGCATGGTTGTTTTATTGTCTTATACCATGGTTGTTTTATTGTCTTATACCATGGTTGTTTTATTGTCTTATACCATGGTTGTTTTATTGTCTTACACCATGGTTGTTTTATTGTCTTATACCATGGTTGTTTTATTGTCTTATACCATGGTTGTGTTGTTTTATTGTCTTATACCATGGTTGTTTTATTGTCTTATACCATGGTTGTTTTATTGTCTTATACCATGGTTGTTTTATTGTCTTATACCATGGTTGTTTTATTGTCTTATACCATGGTTGTTTTATTGTCTTATACCATGGTTGTTTTATTGTCTTATACCATGGTTGTTTTATTGTCTTATACCATGGTTGTTTTATTGTCTTATACAGTGGGGAGAACAATTATTTGATACACTGCCGATTTTGCAGGTTTTCCTACTTACAAAGCATGTAGAGGTCTGTAAATTTTATCATAGGTACAATTCAACTGTGAGAGACGGAATCTAAAACAAAAATCCAGAAAATCACATTGTATGATTTTTAAGTAATTAATTTGCATTTTATTGCATGACATAAGTATTTGATACATTAGAAAAGCAGAACTTAATATTTGGTACAGAATCCTTTGTTTGCAATTACAGAGATCATACGTTTCCTGTAGGTCTTGACCAGGTTTGCAGAGACTGCAGCAGGGATTTTGGCCCACTCCTCCATACAGACCTTCTCCAGATCCTTCAGGTTTCGGGGCTGTCGCTTGGCAATACGGACTTTCAGCTCCCTCCAAAGACGTTCTATTGGGTTCAGGTCTGGAGACTGGCTAGGCCACTCCAGGACCTTGAGATGCTTCTTACGGAGCCACTCCTTAGTTGCCCTGGCTGTGTGTTTCGGGTCGTTGTCATGCTGGAAGACCCAGCCACGACCCATCGTCAATGCTCTTACTGAGGGAAGGAGGTTGTTGGCCAAGATCTCGCGATACATGGCCCATTCCATCCTCCCCTCAATACGGTGCAGTCGTCCTGTCCCCTCTGCAGAAAAGCATCCCTAAATAATGATGTTTCCACCTCCATGCTTCATGGTTGGGATGGTGTTCTTGGGTTTGTACTCATCCTTCTTCTTCCTCCAAACACGGCGAGTGGAGTTTAGACCAAAAAGCTCTATTTTTGTCTCATCAGACCACATGACCTTCTCCCATTCCTCCTCTGGATCATCCAGATGGTCATTGGCAAACTTCAGACGGGCCTGGACATGCGCTGGCTTGAGCAGGGGGACCTTGCGTGCGCTGCAGGATTTTAATCCATGACGGCGTAGTGTGTTACTAATGGTTTTCTTTGAGACTGTGGTCCCAGCTCTCTTCAGGTCATTGACCAGGTCCTGCCGTGTAGTTCTGGGCTGATCCCTCACCTTCCTCATGGTCATTGATGCCCCACGAGGTGAAATCTTGCATGGAGCCCCAGACCGAGGGTGTTTGACCGTCATCTTGAACTTCTTCCATTTTCTAATAATTGCATCAACAGTTGTTGCCTTCTCACCAAGCTGCTTGCCTATTGTCCTGAAGCCCATCCCAGCCTTGTGCAGGTCTACAATTTTATCCCTGATGTCCTTACACAGCTCTCTGGTCTTGGCCATTGTGGAGAGGTTGGAGTCTGTTTGATTGAGTGTGTGGACAGGTGTGTTTTATACAGGTAACGAGTTCAAACAGGTGCAGTTAATACAGGTAATGAGTGGAGAACAGGAGGGCTTCTTAAAGAAAAACTAACAGGTCTGTGAGAGCCGGAATTCTTACTGGTTGGTAGGTGATCAAATACTTATGTCATGCAATAAAATGCAAATTAATTACTTAAAAATCATACAATGTGATTTTCTGGATTTTTGTTTTAGATTCCGTCTCTCACAGTTGAAGTGTACCTATGATAAAAATTACAGACCTCTACATGCTTTGTAAGTAGGAATACCTGCAAAATCAGCAGTGTATCAAATACTTGTTCTCCCCACTGTACCATGGTTGTTTTATTGTCTTATACCATGGTTGTTTTATTGTCTTATACCATGGTTGTTTTATTGTCTTATACCATGGTTGTTTTATTGTCTTATAGCATGGTTGTTTTATTGTCTTATACCATGGTTGTTTTATTGTCTTATACCATGGTTGTTTTATTGTCTTATACCATGGTTGTTTTATTGTCTTATACCATGGTTGTTTTATTGTCTTATACCATGGTTATATTACTGCCATAAACTGTAGTTGTAAATGATATGGTATCCTTCCTTCTAGTGACAAAAGCAAAAGGAGAACGAAAACGGTGAAGAAATCCATGGAGCCTAAATGGAACCAGACGTTCATGTACATGCCGGTCCACTGGAGGGAGTTTAGAGAGCGCATGCTGGAGATCACTTTGTGGGACCAGGCCAGGGTCAGAGAGGAAGAGAGTGAATTCATGGGAGGGGTAAGAAACATTACACAATAACATAATGTTGCATAACACAACATAATATCTCAAATGACTGCCTCGCCTGGTTCACCAACTACTTCTCAGATAGAGTTCAATGTGTCAAATCGGAGGGCCTGTTGTCTGGACCTCTGGCAGTCTCTATGGGGGTGCCACAGGGTTCAATTCTCGGGCCGACTCTTTTCTCCGTATATATCAATGATGTCGCTCTTGCTGCTGGTGACTCTCAGATCCACCTCTACGCAGACGACACCATTTTGTATACATCTGGCCCTTCATTGGACACTGTGTTAACAAACCTCCAAACGAGCTTCAATGCCATACAACACTCCTTCAGTAGCCTCCAACTGCTCTTAAACGCTGGCAAAACTAAATGCATGCTCTTCAATCGAACGCTGCTTGCACCCGCCCGCCCGACTAGAATCACTACTCTCGGTGGGTCTGACTTAAAGTATGTGGACAACTACAAATACCTAGGTGTCTGGTTAGACTGTAAACTCTCCTTCCAGACTCACATTAAGCATCGCCAATCCAAAGTTAAATCTAGAATCGGCTTCCTATTTCGCAACAAAGCCTCCTTCACTCATTCTGCCAAACATGCCCTCGTAAAACTGACTATCCTACCGATCCTTGACTTCGGCGATGTCATTTACAAAATAGCCTCCAACACTCTACTCAGCAAATTGGATGTAGTCTAACACAGTGCCATCCGTTTTGTCACCAAAGCCCCATATACTACCCACCATTGTGACCTGTACGCTCTTGTTGGCTGGTCCTCACTACATATTCGTCGCCAAACCCACTGGCTCCAGGCCATCTATAAATCACTGCTAGGCAAATCCCCGCCTTATCTTAGCTCATTGGTCACCATAGCAACACCCACCCGTAGTATGCGCTCCAGCAGGTATATCTCACTGGTCATCCCCAAAGCCAACACCTCCTTTGGCCGCCATTCCTTCCAGTTCTCTGTTGCCAATGACTGGAACAAATTGCAAAAATCTCTGAAGCTGGAGACTCTCATCTCCCTCACTAACTTTAAGCATCAGTTGTCAGAGCACCTTACCGATCACTGTACCTGTACACAGCCCACCTGAAATTAGCCCACCAAACTACCTCATCCCCATATTGTTATTTATTTTGCTCATTTGCACCCCAGTATCTCTATTTGCACATCATCTCTATCGTTCCAGTGTTAATACTAATTGTAATTATTTTGCACTATAGCCTATTTATTGCCTTACCTCCATAACTTACTACATTTGCACACACTGTATATATTTTTTCTGTTGTATTTTTGACTTTATGTTTTGTTTTACCTCATATGTAACTCTGTGTTGTTTTTATCGCACTGCTTTGCTTTATCTTGGCCAGGTCGCAGTTGTAAATGAGAACTTGTTCTCAACTGGCTTACCTGGTTAAATAAAGGTGAAATAAAAAAAATAAAAAATATGACATAACATAATGTAACATAACATAATGTAACACAACATAACATAATGTAACATAATGTAACATAACAGAAGTTATCATAACACAACAGATAACATAATGTAACATAATGTAACATGACATACATCAGAAACAATACATCATCTGATCATGATTCAAGTAGCTACACTGGGATGTACAGATTGTTCTCACTTTTACAAATGATACAGAAATAGTCTTTGTAGATTTAGATTTAGGGTTAGATGTTGTATTTGGAATTTGTTTGCTCTCCTTCTGCAATTTGATAATTGTAACCCTTGAACTTTGATCTTTGACAGAAGAGAGCATCAGCCCAATGTTTCTGTTTGGATCACATGTTTACATGATCTGTTTACATGATCTTCTGCTAAGTCAGTGAATAAATGTGTTGTGTTGTCAGATCCTCATAGAACTGGAGACAGCCCTGATGGACGACACAGCCCACTGGTACAAGATGCAGACCCACGATATATCCTTCATGCCAATGCCCAACCCCTCACCCTACATGCAGAGGAAACTACTGCAGGGAGAGAGCCCCTCTAGGAGGTTACAGAGTAGGTCCCAGTCCCATCACACACCTAACCATGTCTCCACCAGCACCACACCTAACCATGTCTCCACCAGCAGCACACCTAACCATGTCTCCACCAACACCACACCTAACCATGTCTCCACCAGCAGCACACCTAACCATGTCTCCACCAGCAGCACACCTAACCATGTCTCCACCAACACCACACCTAACCATGTCTCCACCAGCAGCACACCTAACCATGTCTCCACCAGCAGCACACCTAACCATGTCTCCACCAACACCACACCTAACCATGTCTCCACCAACACCACACCTAACCATGTCTCCACCAGCAGCACACCTAACCATGTCTCCACCAGCACCACACCTAACCATGTGTACACCAGCACCACACCTAACCATGTCTCTACCATTACCACACCTAACCATGTCTCCACCAGCAGCACACCTAACCATGTCTCCACCAGCACCACACCTAACCATGTCTCCACCAGCAGCACACCTAACCATGTCTCCACCAACACCACACCTAACCATGTCTCCACCAGCAGCACACCTAACCATGTCTCCACCAGCAGCACACCTAACCATGTCTCCACCAACACCACACCTAACCATGTCTCCACCAGCAGCACACCTAACCATGTCTCCACCAGCAGCACACCTAACCATGTCTCCACCAACACCACACCTAACCATGTCTCCACCAACACCACACCTAACCATGTCTCCACCAGCAGCACACCTAACCATGTCTCCACCAGCACCACACCTAACCATGTGTACACCAGCACCACACCTAACCATGTCTCTACCATTACCACACCTAACCATGTCTCCACCAGCAGCACACCTAACCATGTCTCCACCAACACCACACCTAACCATGTCTCCACCAGTACCACACCTAACCATGTCTCCACCAACACCACACCTAACCATGTCTCCACCAGCAGCACACCTAACCATGTCTCCACCAGTACCACACCTAACCATGTCTCCACCAGCACCACACCTAACCATGTCTCCACCAGCACCACACCTAACCATGTCTCCATCAGCACCACACCTAACCATGTCTCCACCAACACAACACCTAACCATGTCTCCACCAGCAGCACACCTAACCATGTTTACACCAGCAGCACACCTAACCATGTCTCTACCAGCAGCACACCTAACCATGTCTCCACCAACACCACACCTAACCATGTCTCCACCAACACCACACCTAACCATGTCTCCACCAGCAGCACACCTAACCATGTCTCCACCAGCAGCACACCTAACCATGTCTCCACCAACACCACACCTAACCATGTCTCCATCAGCAGCACACCTAACCATGTCTCCACCAGCACCACACCTAACCATGTCTCCACCAACACCACACCTAACCATGTCTCCACCAGCAGCACACCTAACCATGTCTCCACCAGCACCACACCTAACCATGTCTCCACCAGCAGCACACCTAACCATGTGTACACAAGCACCACACCTAACCATGTCTCCACCAGCACCACACCTAACCATGTCTCCACCAACACCACACCTAACCATGTCTCCACCAGCAGCACACCTAACCATGTCTCCACCAGTACCACACCTAACCATGTCTCCACCAGCAGCACACCTAACCATGTGTACACAAGCACCACACCTAACCATGTCTCCACCAACACCACACCTAACCATGTCTCCACCAGCAGCACACCTAACCATGTATCTACCAGCACCACACCTAACCATGTGTACACCAACACCACACCTAACCATGTCTCCACCAGCACCACACCTAACCATCTCTTCACCAGCACCACACCTAACCATGTCTCTACCAGCACCACACCTAACCATGTGTACACCAGCACCACACCTAACCATGTTTCCACCAGCAGCACACCTAACCATGTCTCCACCAGCAGCACACCTAACCATCTCTCCACCAACACCACACCTAACCATCTCTCCACCAGCACCACACCTAACCATGTCTCTACCAGCACCACACCTAACCATGTCTCCACCAACACCTAACCATGTCTCCACCAGCACCACACCTAACCATGTCTCCACCAGCACCACACCTAACCATGTCTCCACCAGCACCACACCTAACCATGTGTACACCAACACCACACCTAGCCATGTCTCCACCAGCAGCACACCTAACCATGTGTACACCAGCACCACACCTAACCATGTCTCCACCAGCACCACACATAACCATGTGTACACCAGCACCACACCTAACCATGTCTCTACCATTACCACACCTAACCATGTCTCCACCAGCACCACACCTAACCATGTCTCCACCAGTACCACACCTAACCATGTCTCCACCAACACCACACCTAACCATGTCTCTACCAGCACCACACCTAACCATGTCTCCACCAACACCACACCTAACCATGTCTCCACCAGCACCACACCTAACCATGTCTCCACCAGCAGCACACCTAACCATGTCTCTACCAGCACCACACCTAACCATGTGTACACCAGCACCACACCTAACCATGTCTCTACCATTACCACACCTAACCATGTCTCCACCAGCACCACACCTAACCATGTCTCCACCAGCACCACACCTAACCATGTCTCCACCAGCAGCACACCTAACCATGTGTACACCAGCACCACACTTAGCCATGTCTCCACCAGCACCTCACCTAACCATGTCTCCACCAGCACCTCACCTAACCATGTCTCCACCAGCACCACACCTAACCATGTATCCACCAGCACCACACCTAACCATGTCACCATCAGCACCACACCTTACCATCTCTCCACCAGCACCACACATAACCATGTGTACACCAGCACCACACCTAACCATGTCTCTACCAGCACCACACCTAACCATGTCTCCATCAGCACCTCACCTAACCATGTCTCCACCAGCAGAACACCTAACCATGTGTACACCAGCACCACACCTAACCATGTCTCCATCAGCACCACACCTAACCATCTCTCCACCAACACCACACCTAACCATGTCTCCACCAACACCACACCATGTCTCCACCAACACCACACCTAACCATCTTTCCTCCAGCCCCACACACCTAACCATCTATCCTCCAGCCCCACACACCTAACCATCTCTCCACCAGCAAGCGCCATGCTCTACCAACTGAGCTACATCAGTTCCCTCCCCTACCCTGGGCCAATTGTGCGCCGCCCCATGGGTCTCCCGGTCGCGGCCGGCTACGACAGAGCCAGCACTGTGATGCAGTGCCTCAGACCACTGCGCCACTCGGGAGGCACCGAGTACTGACCCGAATTGACCCGTTTTGACCCGTACTGACCCGTACTGACCCGTACTGACCCATACTGAACCGTACTGACCAGTATTGACCTGTACTGATTCATACAGTCCCGTATTGACCGGTATTGACTTGTAATGATGCATACTGACCCTTACTGACCAATACTAACACGTACTGACCTGTACTGACCCGTATTGACCCGTACTGACTAACATTGACCCGTATTGACTAATACTGTCCCGAATTGACCCGTACTGACCCATACTGAACAGTACTTACCCTAACTGACCCGTATTGACCTTTACTGTTTCATAATGACCCGTACTGACTAATTCTGACCCGTACTGACCAGTATTGACCCATACTGACCCGTACTGACCCGAATTGACCCGTACTGACAAGTATTGACACGTACTGACCCTAACTGACTAATACTGACCCGTACTGACCAGTATTGACCCGTAATGATTCATACTGACCCGTATTGACCAGTATTGACCCGTAATGACCCGTATTGACCTGTACTGATTCATACTGACCCGTATTGACCGGTATTGACCAATACAGACCATTTCTGACCAATACTGACCCATACTGACCCGTACTGACCCTTGTTTACCCATACTGACCCTTATTGACCCGTTCTGACCCGTAGTGACCCATACTGACTCGTTCTGACCCGTATTGACCGGTATTTACCCGTACTTACCCATACTGATTCGTACGGAGCCGTGTTGACCTGTAGTGACCCATACTGACCCGTATTATACTGTACTGACGCGTACTGTCCCGTGTTGACCCGTATTGACGTGTAATGAAGCATACTGTATCGTACTGAACCGTACTGATCCATATTGACCTGTACGGATTCATACTGACCCGTACTGACTAATACTGACCCGTACTGACCAGTATTGACCGGTACTGATCCGAATTGACCCGTATTGACCAGTATTGGCACGTACTGAGCCGTACTGACCCGAATTGACCCGTATTGACCCGTACTGACTCATACTGAACCGTACTGACCCGTATTGACCTCTACTGATTCATACTGACCCGTATTGACCGGTATTGACTCATACTGAGCCGTACTGTCCAGTATTGACCCGTAATGACCCGTTCTGGCCGTTATTGACCAATACTCACCTATACTGACCCATACTGACCTGTAATGACCTCTACTGATTCATACTGACCCGTATTGACCAATACTGACCAATACTGACCCGTACTGACCCGTATTGACCAGTGCTGATTCATACTGACCCGTATTGACCAATATTGACTAAAATTGACCCTTACTGACCAATACTGACCCGTACTGACCTGTACTGACCCGTATTGACCCGTACTGACTAATATTGACACGTACTGACCAGTATTGACCCGTACTGACCCGTACTGACCATTATTGACCCGTACTGACCTGTGCTGACCAGTACTGAACCGTATTGACCTGTGCTGACTCATACTGACCCGTATTGACCGATATTGACTCATACTGACCCTTACTGACCATTACTGACCTGTACTGACGTGTACTGACACCTATTGACCCGATCTGAACCGAATTGACCCGTATTGACCCCTTTTGACCCGTACTGAACCAAACTGAATCCTACTGACCTGTACTGAACTGTATTGAACTGTACTGATTCATACTGACCTGTATTGACTCATACTGAGCCTTACTGACCAAAACTGACCCGTACTGACTCATACTGAACCGTACTGACCAGTATTGACCCGCATTCATTTCATTTCATTTTTAGTCATTTAGCAGACGCTCTTATCCAGAGCGACTTACATGAGCAATTAGGGTTAAGTGCCTTGCTCAAGGGCACATCGACAGATTTTTCACCTAGTCAGCTCGGGGATTAGAACCAGCGACCTTTCGGTTACTGGCACAACGCTCTTAACCACTAAGCTACCTGCCGCCCCAGTAGGGGTCAATATGAGTCAATACCGGTCAATATGGGTCAGTATGAATCAGTAGAGGTCATTACGGGTCAGTACGGCTCAGTACGGGTCAGTACAGGTCAATACGGGTCAGTTCAGTGTAGTATGGGTCAGTATGGGTCAATACGGGTCAATACTGGTCAGTATGGTTCAGTATGAGTCAATACCGGTCAATACTGGTCAGTATGAATCAGTAGAGGTCAATATGGGTCAATACGGGTCAGCATTGACCTCTACTGATTCATACTGACCCCGTATTGACCCGTATTGACCTCTACTGATTCATACTGACCCGTATTGACCCGTATTGACCTCTACTGATTCATACTGACCAGTATTGACCGGTATTGACTCATACTGAACCATACTGACCAGTATTGACCCGTATTGACCCGTACTGACCCATACTACACTGAACTGACCCGTATTGACCTGTACTGACCCGTACTGAGCCGTACTGACCCGTAATGACCTCTACTGATTCATACTGACCCATATTGACCGGTATTGACTCATATTGACCCTTACTGACCAATACTGACCAATACTGACCCGTACTGACCCGTATTGACCCCTACTGACTCATACTGAACGGTACTGACCCGTACTGACCCGTACTGACCCATACTCAACCGAACTGACCCGATTTGACCCCTACTGACTAATACTGACCCGTACTGACCAGTATTGACCCGTACTGACCCGTACTGACCCATATTGACCCGTACTGAATCAAACTGACCCGTATTGAGGGCAGAAGGTAGACTAGCAGTTAAGAGCGATGGGCCAGTAACCGAAAGGTCACTTGTTCAAATCACCGAGCCAACTAGGTGAAAAATCTGTCGATGTCCACTTGAGCAAGGCACTTAAACCTCACTGCTCCTGTAATTTGCTCTTGTTAAGAACGTCTGCTGAATTACTAAAACATTTAATGAAAAAAATATGTTTGACTATTTCGTACTTACCCGTATTAACCCGTACTGACTCATACTAACCCATATTGACCCGTACTTGTATTAACAAGCGAAACTTTGTGATGAGAGAGACACATTTCCTCTTGCTTTGTGTGGGCCATGTAGTCAGTGTCAGTGAGGTGTGTCCCTGTGACCCAATTAGAGATTAGTTTCCCCTACTGACCCGTATTTACCTGTACTGACCCATACTGATTCGTACTGACCCGTGCTGAACCGTGCTGAACCGTACTGACCCGTACTGACCCGTAATGACCTCTACTGAATCATACTGACACGTATTGACCTGTATTGACTCATACTGATTCGTACTGACCCGTGCTGTCCACATCACCAACAAACTATCATGGTCCAAACACACCAAGACAGTCATGAAGAGGGCACGACAATGCCTATTCCCCCTCAGGAGACTGAAAAGGTTTGGCAAGGGTCCTCAGATCATCAAAAAGTTATACAGATGCACCATCGAGAGCATCCTGACTGGTTGCATCCCAGCCTGGTATGGCAACTGCTCGGCCTCCGACCACAAGGCGCTACAGAGGGTAGAGCGTACGGCTCAGTACATCACTGGGGCCAAGCTTCCTGCCATCCAGTACCTCTATACCAGGCGGTGTCAGAGGAAGGCCCTAAAAATGTTCAAAGACTCCAGTCATCCAAGTCATGGACTGTTCTCTCTGCTACCGCACGGCAAGCGGTACCGGAGCGCCAAGTCTAGTCAAAAGGCTTCTTAACAGCTTCTACTGTCAAGTCATAAGACTGCTGAACAGCTAATCAAATGGCTACCCGGACTATTTGCATTGACCCCTCCACCTTTTTT